AATTGGTTTTCCAAAAAATCGATTTTGGTTATTGGTGTAACTCTAAAACAAATGAACGTATATACATGAAATTTTCACTGGTTGTTTATATTTGCATTTTCTATACACGATAACATTTTCAAAATATTTTGATTTATTTTGAACTGTTTAGGGACATTTTCATTTTCCATTTTTTTTTAGTTTTTTTTCTAAAAATATCAATAAAATTTTATTTATTGGTTGCGAAAGCTTGAAAATTTAATATAAGGCTCCTAATATGTTGTTTCAAAGGCAGATGAAAAATATTAAAAATCCTTAGTCACAATTTTTTTTTATAAGCATTTAAAGTTCAAAAATTGACAAAATATGGAAAAATCACGAAAATTAGCAAATTATATTTGAGTTAAGAATTCGTAAAAATTTTTCTTTTTAAATCTAAGATTTGAAAATGAAACACAAGATTCCTTATAAGATTATCTACCTTTATAAATAAAAAAATCTCTACCGGACAGTCAAATTAAATTTTTATGAGCGTTTGAAATTAAAATTTTTACAACATTGGATTTTCACTCGATTTCTCATGTAGCGATTTCCTTATTTTGTTGTAATTCAAAAACGAATAACTGTAGATACATGAAAATTTCACTGAATGTTTATATTAGCATTTCCTACACACCATACAATTTTGAAAATATTTTGACTCTTTTTGAGCTGTTTATGGACATTTACAGCTTTCAATTTTTTTTAGTTTTTTTTTCTATAAATATCAATAAAGTTTTATCTGTTGGGCCAAAAAGTATAAAAATTTAATACAAGGCTCCTGATATATTGTTACAATATCAGTTGAAAAATATTAAAAATACATAGGCACGATTTTTTTTATAAGCATTTAAAGTTGGAATTTTGACAAAATTTATCAAAATCTCGAAAATTATCAATCGTTGGAATTAAAAAATTATAAAATGTTCAGTTTTTATAACTAAGAGTTGAAAATTTAAAACAAAGATTCTCTTAAATAATTCATACTGTAACCAAAAAATCTAAAAAATATATAAACACACTTATTTTTTACAGACATTTTAATTTCAAATTTAGACAAAATTTCATATTTAAACCAAGAATTACGATTTTAGTTATTTTGTTGTGATTGAATAATACTATTCGTGGGTACTTGAAACTTCTAAAGTGTACTATAATATATCTATGATAGTATCACGGTTTTTGTTGATGTATAACGCGTTATAAGTATCTAATGGATATTGTGATATGATTAATTTGGAATTTATTATAGGTACCTATTATAGGTCAATTTTTTGTTTAATACCATAGATATGTATATAATATGCCTTATACATAGACTGACATACCATCACCGCTCAGAATCGTTTTTCTTATACAATGATATTAGATCATTGAATTCAAATTTAATACCATCCATTATACAGTGACCCACTTGTAACCTACTGTACAGCAGAGCGACACCCACTTGCCCACCTTTTTATTATTATTGTTTATATTTGTACAAATATTGAATTTATATTAAAGTTAAGATATTGTATATTATGATTTTTTCAATTTTTAATATTTTATTATAAAAAAACAAAATAAAACAATTTATTAAGATTTAACTACATTAAACATTTATTTGTTAACATAAGTATTTTAGAGCAGTGGCGTAAAGTGTGGGTTGCAAGGAGTTATTACTATTGTCCCGACAAATACTGGGGTTGCAAACTTCGAAATATATTATTTTGTGACCCCAGACATTTCTACAATATAAGCAATTTTTTAAATGTATCTATCTTGTTATAATGAGTAATTACTTAAAGTTTCTATAGTTAACAAATTGTCATTTATTTATTTTTGTTTTTCCCAATTATTTTAAAAAGTACTCAGAATTTTCTATTTTGGCCTTCCAAAAAGTACCAACTAGATCCAATTTGCTTCCAAAAACCTCCATCAAAGTTGATGATCAGAGCATATTTTCTACTAGAAAAGTTGAGAAATTGTAAAAATAATTTTAAATACCTTGCCTAAATGTCTGATATTATTAGACTGGACAAAATAAAAATGTAATTAACTTTCAAGCAATTCATCTATCCATTTTTTTTAAATAGATATATATATATATTATATCAGGGATTATATCTTTTCATTGAATTAAAATTGTATATAATTTACAAAATAAAAATTCTTGGCAGCGGTTCCCCTTCCCGGATTTGTTATATTTTGACAAATTTTACAAGCCCGTAAAATTTGTCCAAACTCATCCCATTGCTTAAGAATGACTATTTTCATTAAATCAAATAGAATTTTCAAAGATGTTTAAAAAGAAAATCATTTTTATAAATCTGTTGTGTGTTTAAATTATGAAAGTACTGTGTTTATTATAATATTTTGTAAAGTGTATACATACAAATATCAGGGTGACCAATTGACAATATCATTAATCCGCTTTAATTTAAACACTGAATTATTTTAAAATTAAAAAAAAAAATAGTTAGTTTGGATATTTCAAATTACTTTTTAGTAATTAAATACATGTTAAACATAAATTTGATGTTTTAGGATTTTTGTTAAATTATTTTATCACATCACATTGATAAAGTGTTGTAACAAAGATTATAAATACTCAAAACTAATTTATAAAAGTAAAGCTATACTAACTGCACCTATTTCCTGTCACCAACTAGGCGTATTTTAATATTAGGTATTTATAAATTGAGCTATTCAATATTTAAATGACCAATTTAGTGTTTACACAATTGTTTAGCATTTGTATTACCTATTCTTCAAAAATATTTATTTTAATTTAAATAGTACCTATTAAAAAATATAGGTATACCTACTAAATGTGTCATACCATAATTTATAAAACATAATGAATTTGACATTAAAATAACCATAATCCTTTGGTCACATTTAAATGCTACCTAACTAGTTTAATGTTTAAATATCAAAAATTATTACCTATAAACATAATGGGAATAAAAAGAAATTATGTTGGGTACTTTTTTATAACTGTCTTAGAACTACCTAATACAAAAAAAAAGTTTAAAGATGGTGAGTTTTCCTATTACCTAAATGTCTTACTTAATTTATAATTTGTTACAACATATTTGAGAATTATTATTGGTTGTATAATTTGAACATTAAAATAATTTTCTTACTTTGGTATCCAGATCAGTTTGGTATTGCACTGAACCATTACATAATAGTATTTGACAGATTAGAGTAATTATTGATGTCAGTACTAGAGGAACAACTAACCCAAGAATAAATATTAAAAATGAACAATATGGTAATATGGTAGGTTAAAACAAAGATAAAAACAAGAAAAAAGATTCGTCTAAGAATTTATAAACTAAAACGTCTACAGCTACATGCTAGGTCTACGACCCTTGATCTATGTAAATACTGTGATAAAAAATAATAAATATTGGATGTGTAAAAAAAAAAACAATAACATTGTTTATTTGCTTGGACACCAATTACAGCATTATCAGTTAGTACTTTAGTTGTGTTACTGGCTTGTTTGGTCCTTAATCAGTTTTTGTGGTTGAGGAAAAACAGTGTAGCCATCCGACGGACTCGCACTCGTCCTTGGTGTTGGCGAACTGTAGCTTTACTGATGCCATCACCGCCGATGCGAACCGTTGAACAATGATGCGTACTTCTACCGCAACCACACTTCCGCGTAAATATGTTTAGCGTGCCCGGTGAGTGGTGAGTGGTGACTGGTGAGTGCCCAGTGTCCAGTGAGTGCCGAGTGGTGACATGAGTTTGAGTACAACACTTTGTCGCACCTGTTATGTCTTAATAATATTATTTAATACTCCAGCAATAAAGTCATAACTCATAATATAATCCGCGGCCTACTGGGAATCAACGATTGTTTCACAGCGACATGGTATGGGACCCGGATATCGAACGTTTCGCAACGGCACGAATTCGTTGGTTGTGGCCTACGAGATTTCCAGTGTTTTGGTAATGGCGTTCGGCAACAACAACAATAATAACGTTTGTGATCTGTATAGATATACTTTTGTGGCCCTTTAATCCTAATAATAAGGCACCTTATACATGTTATGTGTACCGTAATCATCTCGTCGATGTCTATGGAAACTTGGAAGTTTGACGATAAATACGACATTATAGAAACTAGTAAGAAGTAACCACAACGTTATTTTCCGTGAAAGCATCGAAGACTTCGCTATCACAGAGCCGAAGAACATCGCTGTGTGTCCGTTCGTTGGTGGTAAAAGTTTTCGTTGAAACGATAGATCCAGTCGAATTTCCATCTCGTCAAGTTCGAAGTATTATGGCCATTCATTGTTGATTGATACATTCGTGTGTTACCAAGTTAGAAAAGAACCAACTCCACCAGCAGGTATTGCGTTTGACCGATGAGTCCGTCGGTGTCACCGTCGGACGGATTGATAGAAAATAAAATATAGATGCTGTATGACGCTTAGGTTAGAGAACGGCGTGTAAAGTTCAAATTTCTACATTGATACCTACATCTCCTTCAAATTGTGAGTTTTCAAATGTGTTCGATGTTTATTAAAATTTGATAATGGAATAGGTTAGGTATGTCTTTAGGTACAATTACTTTACAAAATAGCAATTTGAGATTGGCTTATTCTTATTCTTTATGAAAGCTATCAGAACAACAGTTAATACTAAATTTTTTCAATCGCCTGCTGATTTTAAAAGATGCCACACTAAAGTTTGTTTATCATTATTTTTTTCACAAATTGATGATTAGTTTTAAGGACCTACCTGATTAGGAATTGTTTTTAAAGCTTTTAAAAAAAAATAATGTTAAATCCGATTTTTGATGCAATTTCTCATCTACAGATATTCAAAACACAACAATATATATTTTATTAACCATTAATCCATCATTAAAACCTTCTGGAGTAAAAATGTAGTTATTATAATATGATAGATTAATTCAAATTTAGCTGTACTTTAAACATATTGATTTTAATAATGATTTATTTATAATTTTAGATAAGATGTGTTCGAATAAAAATGCACCCAGAATCATGGTATTCAGACCAACATGGAAAGAATTTCAAAATTTTAGCAGCTATATTGAGCTGATGGAATCGCAAGGTGCTCATAAGGCCGGGGTGGCAAAAGTATGTTATTACAAAAATATAGCTTTTTTGGAACAATTCTAGTTTAGTGCCCACTCAAATTTTTTATTTTGGAAATCTATGTATTTCGACGAGTTTAAAACGATGGTGTAAAAATTAGTTTGCGGAAATGATTATTTTGGAAGTTACAGCCTTCCAAAGTTTGCGATTTTACGTTTATACGCATGCGCGCAACACTACTATAATGCCCCGCGGAGGACGTCAATATATATTAAAAGAGGTGGACGTCGATTTATATTAAAAGTTACGAGTCCGTATGCATAGTTAATTTGTGTTTTCACACCTTGACCTGTTTACATAAGTATATAGTGACTCCCTTCACCTATCGGCTCCGGTCTCCAGATAGAATAACATAAGTCTATAGAAGCTCCCTACGCCTGCCGGCTCCGGTTGCCAAACTCGAGATCCTGCGGACCTCCCGCTGGATGGGGGCTCGGTCCCCAGACCCCCCGGGGCTTAAATAGCAAACCTGGGGGGGAGAGCATATATGCCCTTCGGGCAGACAGATGACCTAATAAGTAATTTTAACTTTGTTAGTTGAAGTATCACAAGTATAGTGGCTCTGGTCTTCAAACTCAAGGGACCTCGCTCTCGTCGCCTATCGTCATTTAGAGTAACATAAGTCTATAGAAGCTCGAGGTCCTCCGGACCTCTTGCTGAACCCCCTGGGATTAAATTAAATTAAATTCACTCAATTGAATTTAAGAACCCTGATACCGGAGCACATACAAATAATATGGAAGGGATGTGGCGTCATGCTAAAGCATCCATGAGCCAATACTGTCGTAAAAAAACAATTCTACACAGGGTACTTGGCAAAATATATGTTTTTAAAATAGTATCGATTACAAAATGTTGACCCTCTAACAGAATTCTTTCAGTTGTGTTCCATAGTGTACGACCCTGTCAATGGAGTGAGAGCCGATAATGTTGTTGAGTCTGCAGAGTCGGAATCTGGCACCGACTCCGAGATAAAATCTGAGGACGAATCCCAAACAGTTTTTTTTTAGTTCCAAAATAAAATATAAAATATTAGAATTGGTTTTACAAAAAAGTATCCCTAGACTTGATATGCAACACCTTACACCACCTCAAGTAGGTCACAGGGTAAGTTATGTTGTATAGTATGTATATATAGTGGTAACATGTCTTGCGGCACTCGTCGCTGCGCTTATAGTAGTGTTGTGCTCATGCGTATAAAAGTGAAATCGCAAACTTTGGAAGGCTGTAACTTCTAAAATAATCATTTCCCCAAATTAATTTTTACACCATTGTTTTAAACTCATCGAAATACATAGGTTTCCAACAAAAAAATCGAAAAATTCACTTGGGCTCTAAACTAGAATTATGCCGCTTTTTTTTATAATGATTTCAGATTTTATTGTTACAATTTGACCTTTTTATCTAAATATTTAATATTAATCTTGTAGGTTATCCCACCACCTGAGTGGATACCTAGAAAAAGAAGTTATTATGAAGATGATATTATGAATTTGAAAATTCCAGCTCCAATATGTCAAGTAATGTGTTTAAGTACATAGCTTTTAATAAATTATGTCTAATATTTATTATATTGAATTAGGTTGTACAAGGTAAACAAGGACTTTATCAACAACTTAATATACAAAAGAAACCTATGACAGTAGGAGATTACAAGTTAATAGCTGAATCTGATGAGTATAAGACACCTAACCATTTTGATTATGGGGACCTTGAAAGAAAGTATTGGAAAAATATAATTTACAAATCCCCAATGTATGGTGCAGATGTATCAGGATCGATTACCGATAAAGATGTTAATGTATGTGCTAAATTTATACATTAATTTTATCTCAAATTATATATTTAAATGAAGTAAATAATCTTTTTTTATTTAATTAAGGTTTGGAATATTAACAAACTAGGCACAATACTGGATTATGTAAATGAAGATTATGGAATCAGTATTGAAGGTGTTAATACAGCTTATCTGTATTTCGGTATGTGGAAAACTTCTTTTGCATGGCATACTGAAGACATGGATTTGTACAGTATAAATTATATACATGAAGGATATCCGAAGACATGGTAAGATTTATCTTACATTTTATTATTATACCTTTGTAATTATATCTAGTTATACAATATTTTTAAATTTAAATTGCAAATATTTTATTTTACTTAAGGTATGCAATACCTCCAGAACATGGTCGTCGCCTAGAAAGATTGGCTAATGGTTTTTTTCCAACCGATGCTTCAACATGTTCTGCTTTTCTGAGACATAAAATGACTGTTATATCTCCCCATATGTTGAAACAATATTCTATACCATTTAATAAAGTAAATACTTAAAAATTATCAATTTTAAATTAAATTATCAATTCTTATGTTTTTCATGATCGATATTATTATTTGTTTCAGATAACACAAGAGCGAGGTGAGTTTATGATAACTTTCCCTTTTGGGTATCATGCTGGCTTTAACCATGGCTTTAATATGGCTGAATCTACAAACTTTGCATCACCACGTTGGGTGGAGTATGGGAAAAGAGCTTCACAGTGTCATTGCCGCCAAGATTCAGTGAAGATCAGTATGGACACATTTGTTAAACGTATACAACCTGAAAAGTATGAATTATGGCTACAAGGAAATGATATTGGTACTCATCCAGAAGATCCTTCTCGTACTTTAGCAGCACCTTTGCCTAGTAAATGTGACATATTATGTAACAAGAAGTAAGTTAGTTTTCATTATCCAAAAATATAAAATGTTTAATTTTAATTTTTAATGTTACAGCAATACAGGTATTCCAAAACTTTATATTGAAGCTGGTAGAAAACGTCATCCTGTAACACATAAATTTTCAGATTCTGAGTTGTCTAATGATACAGCAATTGACAATAAATGTATAGATGTATCTTCATCAACAAGTGTACAAGAGAATGAAAAGGAATATGAAGATGAACAACTCAATGATGAACAGAGAGAAGTAATGGAAGATATATGGCTAAAAGCTGATGAAATGGGTGGGTAACATTTACATTGATCTCGTTGCTTCAATGATTGTTTTTAATTAAATGGTTATTTTTAGATGTCACTGAAGTATCATATAATAATGGAAGATCTAGGCTTTTGAAGAAAAATCAGTCAATCTTGGAAGATATAGAATTTACGAGTGATAGTGATTATTGTGATAGTTCAGAAAAAAAAAGTGCCAAAAAAAGAAAGTCTAAAAAACGAGAAACAAAAAAGAATTCAAAATCTAAGAAGAAGAAAATATCTAAATCAACTGAGAAAAAAATTGTTCCTCTTGATCAAACTATTGACCAAACGAGTTCAACAACCATTAGCCTCAAAGAGAGTGATAATAGTATTAAAAAATTAATAACTTTATCAACTATAAAATCTGAGAGTTTCAATTCTTTGAATATTAATAAAATTACAGAAGAGTCTCGAGTGAATAGATATCTCAATAAGACTATTAAAAATTCAACAGTTTTTAACAATACCTCAAACAATGATCATTTATTATCTAAAAAATGTGATAGTGTTAATAATAACGCACATTCAAAATTAGTTATAATAAAACATGTACCACCAAATAACTTGGAAAAGCCCAATTCATCTCTTACAAGTTTAAATGCCCATATTAATACAAAATATCCACCTAATTATATGTCAAAAGTATTTATGACTCCGACTCTAAAAATAGTAGATATAAAAAAATCTACACAGAAATTTCCAACTCTTGAACCTATACAAATTAAGGATGCAGAAGAATATGTAATTGATGGTATGTTTTAGTTAATTTCTACTTATAACAATAATATTAAATTTACTATTTTAATGAATGTGAATATAAAAATTTTAAAGTCAATATATTACCTATGATACTAGTATTATTTGTTACCATATAAATACTAATTATGATAGTACTATTTCATTATTTTAATTTTATGTTCAAAATATTTTTACCATACTCTAGTCAACATATTACGTAACCTCATTGACGACCAGTTGCACGTGTTTGTTACCCCCATTAAGTCAACTATCTGTAAGCCTGCCATGTTGAAAGCCACTTTTATGCACAATTCAGTCGCGGAGGTTTACTAGTTATGTTGAATAGAATATGAGTATCTATTTAAATGTGTTATTTAAATAGGAATTTTTATTCACAGGTATACCAAATAACATATCTGATATGATTAACAATTGTTGTTCATTTGAGATTGAGCAACTATATAATGTATTTAGAAGTATGGATGATCCATATTGTTCATTGTGTATGATGTTTAATCGTCGTCATAAGGTAATAGAAAATTAATTTATGGAGTTTATCATTTATCTTTATAAAAATGTAGATACGGCATTTATTATGATCAAAATATGATTTTTGATGACACCAATATATGTTTTAAATTAACTACCTATAAAAAATGTCATTATTTGTTTAAAATTTTAATGAATAGTTAACTTTCAACTTGGATTGGCAAACCACAGCAACTACTTTCATGCATCCAAAGTTACCTGACTTGCAGAAACCTAGCAATGCATTATATAAACATGCACTTTCTGGCGGTGAAAAAGTTAAGGCAGATCTCATAAGATGTGAAAAATGTTATTTGACAGTTCATAAATTGTGTTATGGTATTAATGTAGACACAAGTATACATTGGTTGTGTGATCGATGCATGAAAAATAAGATGCTTGCTGTAAGTGTATTATCTACTATACTAAAACGTGAAGTAATTTGTAAACTAATAAATGTTGTATTATTGTGGTAGTACTCAATTAAAACAATAATTGTCAAGTCTAATACTCTACTACTATATTTTTTTATACTCGTAAACACTAGTTTTCAATTTAAGTTGAGTACTCAGCTGTTTTATTTAAAATAAATGTAAACAAGTTAAGAAAGCTCACTCTGCGAGTATGCAAAATTCTAGGTTTCGAAACGTGTTCTAATATATTTAAAAAAAAAATACAAAGTAATAAACTGCTTACGGGCATATAATTCCAAAAAGAATTAGGTAATGTTAATATTTTAGATAGTTTGAATCTCTATTCAATTCTTATACAATAAGTAATGACTTATCAACAATCTTAATTAAATATCATAATACAAGAAGTTGTAACTATTTAAAGTAACTACAAACAATAATGAATAAATAAATATCTTAATATCAACAATATTAACTAACGGGGATATAAGGCGTTCTGAAACGTAAAACTATCTTAATAAATTCATTAAAAATACCAATCAACAAATGGTTAGATCTCTCCAATCTCATTATTCAGGAAATTCTGAAATAATTGAGCAATTTGAGTACTTTACTTGAAAAATTAATGCTCGACTCTACTCGTTTTTAAAAGAGAATACTCACGCAACTAATTAATTGTATTCATTTTATGATAGAAAATCTCCAATTTAGAAACTTTTATTGATGTTCTTTACCAAAAACAAATAAGAACACTGATATTGGTTAAAATATAGATAATATTTGTAAAATTACTTAATTAATACTATTATTATTATTATCAAATTTAAGTTTTTTTTTCTGCGTTTAAAATATATAAAAAGATTACACAGAGAAAAAATATTTAATTTATCAAAACAACCTTATGATAAAATGTTAATAAGTATTTTTATGTATAGACTTGTGTATACTGTCCATTGAAAGGCGGGGCTTTAAAAGAATTTAAATTCAATGCATGGGCACATGTTGAATGTCATCTACTTGTGCATGGCAGTAGTCCATTGACTAGCAATACTTTTTCAACAGACTTTTCAACTAACCAAAAGGTATAATTTGGGTTCATTTTTAAGTTGTATTAAACTGTATACCTATATTATTGCAGCATTTTTAATATATTAAATATTTTACAGTGTGTAATATGCAATTTAACTTGTGGTAGTTGTTTTCGTTGCTCTGAAGGCAATTGCAATGCTTGGTTCCATATTTCTTGTGGAATATTTGCTGGATTTGATTATCAAATTGATCGAAAAAACAAGCATATTTTGATCCACTGCATAAGTCATTGTCATGTTCCAGATAAAGTAAGATATATTCCATATTGTTTATGATAATTATTTCAAGGTGGATGTATCTATTTTTAGCAACCGGTAATTCACTTAAAACAAAAAGTATGGGCCAGGCACTCGAAACATAAAAGGATCACTGAATGTCAAATTGTAAACATTGGTAAAGCTCCTACATGCATTATAAAATTCTATGATGATACAATATCGGACGTTTTTTCATTAAATGAAATTAAGGTAATCTTTTTTTGTTACATTTTTTTATATTATTATTTAAATCATCAGATAATGCCGATTATATTATGTTATACAAAATTCCTTATAAGGTTATCTACCTTTATCAAAACAAAAAAATTTCTATAAGAAAGTCAAATAAAATTTTTATGAGCGTTTGAAGTTCAATTTTTAACAACATTCAATTGGATATTCAGTCGCTTTCTCGTGTAGCGATTCTCTTATTTTGTTGTATTCAAAAACGAATAACCGTAGACACTTGATATTTATATCATATGTTTATTTTATCATATCCTATACTTGATCAAATTTTCAAAATATTTTGATTTAGTAAATTGTATTTTTATTGTGTCAAAAAACCTCAAAATTGAATACAAGGTTCTTGATATATTGCTTAAATAGCAGTTGAAAAATATTAAAAATACATACTCACAATTTTTTTATAAGCATTTAAAGTTCGATTTTTGACAACATTTATGAAATTAAAAATTAAAAAATGAATTTGTAATAAAAAATTTATAAAATGTTCAACTTTTATAGCTCAAGCTATAGCTTTTATTGATTAAAAATTTACAACAAGGTTCAACGTAAGTAGGTTATTCTGAAACCAAAAAATATAAAAACACAGTTTTTTTTTATAGTTATTTTATGTTCAATTTTGGAGGAAATTACATATTAAATAACTAAAAAACGATTTTAGTTATTTTGTGTCATTATATAATATTAATTTAACTTATCGGCTACTGTATTAATAATGAGTAATAACAATATAAATATAATATAAAATACCCACACTGACAAACCGTCACCACTTAAAATTGTTGATATTATATCATTGAATTAAAATTTAATACCATACATAATACAGTGATCCACTTGTAACCTACTGTATGTCTGTACAGCAGACCAACATCCACTTAATTTTCCACTTTTTAATTTTTGTGTCTATCATCACGATAATGCTTCTATTTTCAACTTCATTATCTTGTTAAATAGGAAAGTAAATCAAGTTGGTGCATACTGAAGGTCAAAATATGAAATTTCTAGTAGTTTTCAAAAGCGGGAAATTTTACGCAAAATCAATTTTGGTTTTTGGCTTAACTCTTAAATGAGAGAACCGTAGATACATGCAATTTTCACTGAATATCTTTATTAGGATTTGCTATACACCATAAAATATTCAAAATATTTTGACTTGTTTTAAACTGTTTACAGACGAACATATTCAATTTTCAATTTTTTTAGTTTTTTTTCTATGAACGTCAATTAAATTTTATTTGTTGGGTAAAAAAGCTTGAAAATTTAATATATTGTTACAATGGTATTTGAAAAATATCAAAAATCCATAGCCACAATTTATTTTATATGCATTTAAAGTTTGAATATTGACAAAATACTTAAAAATGACGAAAATTTGCAAATTATTTTGAGCTAGAAATTCATTAAAATGTTGTTTTTGAAATCTAATGTTTGGCAAATGTACTACAAGATTCCTCATAAGTTCGTCTACCTTTATCAAAAAAAAAAATCTACCGGAAATTCAAATTAAATTTGAAAATTTAAAATTTTTATAAGCGTTTGAAGTTCATTTTATTACAATATTGGATATTCACTCGAGATATCATCATGTAAAAATTTTGTTATTTTGTTTGAAATTCAAAAACGAATAACTGTAGATACATGAAAATTTCACTAAATGTTTATACAACATAACATTTTGAAAATATTTTACTCTTTTTGATCTGTGTACGGACATGGTCAGTTTTCAATTTTTTAGTTTTTTTTTCTATAATTGTCAATGAAATTTAATTTGGTGTAAAAAGCTTGAAAATGTAATACAAGGGCCCTGATATATTGTAACAATAGCAGTTGAAAAATATTAAAAATAAATAGGCACAATTTTATTTTTGAGCATTTATAATTTGAATTTTTACAACATTTATTAAATTTAAAATTTAATAATTATTTTGTTGTTAAAAATTTATAAAATGTTCAACTTTTATAGCTAAGGATTGAAAATGTAAAACAAGATTCCGTGTAAATAGGTCATATCGCCGTCCCGGTAGAACAATGACGCAACTGCAATAATTGCAATTTTACAGGAAACCCAAAAAACTAAATTGTTAATTATTTATGAGTGTACAAACTGATAATTCCATAACGACGCAATTGCCCTCTGGAGGTCTAAAATACAACTACAGTTCCGTCGTTTTTCTACATTATGCGTACGCTATATTTAAACTCATTGTAGCATTTAGGCCATTTATACCAAATTTTGGAGCTGCGTCATTGTTCTACCGGAACGGCGATATATAAATTACTTTATTCACAATAATATCATCAAATATGCTTAGTAATATCATAGGCTGACTGACCGTCTTCGCTCAGAATCGTTTTTCTTATAAAGTGATATTATATTATTGAATTCAAATTTAACACCATCCATTACAGTGACCCACTTGTAACTTAATGTACAGCAGAGAAACACCCACTTGCCCAACTTTTTTTTCAATATGTTTGCCTTTTTTCATTAAATTCAGTTAATTACAAAACATGAAGTAAATAAAATTCTTCACAACCTACTAATTGATATTCTCTAACATTCATAAATTATTATTTTTTTAGAATTATGGAGTAGAAGATCCTCCAGCCATTAACACAGAAGTACAGTTAAAATCTGGTGAAAAAGGTTTATTCTTGGGGATATATTACAGGACAGTATATACAGTAAGTGTGATTTATCATATTGCATTTAATTTCAATAACTTAAAATTAATGGTTTTTTTTATATGTCAGGTTTTATATAATGATGGCAAAACTGATTTTATACACCCTGAGGATATATACAGTGAAGATGATCAGGGTATGGGCCGTTTAAATCTGCAAGGCAAGCGTGGGTTAAAAAAATATCTGAAAGAAAAGTAAATAATTGATGTTTTATAAATGTATTTAATGTTGTATAAATGTATTTACTGTTTTATATAATAGTTAACTATTTCATTATAAGAACTTTACTATTTTATATGGAATAAACTTTTCATAATTGCCTGAACTATAAATTAATTTTACTTTTTGTTTTAGAAAATTAACATGGTTACAGAAATTTAATAATTTATCCAGCATTTTAGAAGTTGTAAGCAATTTATAGTTTATATTTTTAACCTTAACAATTACATTAATTTTCTGGTTTTGTTCAATATATTTTATTTTATTTTTAAATTATATTATGATAGTAATGTTCCTGCAGTTTTTTTCGTCCCATTAATTGTATTTATTTATATTAATATGAAATTACAACATTTGTATTATTAATACCGGGTTCAAAATGTATTTTTTCATCAAATTTAGAGTTTTAAGAAAAATCAATAGTTTAATTCGACCAATATTTATGTACAGTATTGTAATTATTTTATAAAAGTTTGTGTTCTAGTTGCTTTCTTTTAAAATAATTTCTCTTAATTGTCTATGTGTTACATTGCACAATAATGTTTCTTTACATTTTAAGGTAAAACAATTTATTTTTGTTTGATAATATAATGAGTTTCCATGTGATCTCACTATCTCAGGTGGTATATTATATGTTAAAAATTTGTTAGCTATATTAACATATTTATATTAACCATTACTTTAATTTTGTTCGACAACTACACTCGACTTAAGCGATTATTGAAAAGTCAATATCATTATTATTATTCTATTCGTAGATATAAGATAAAGTTATATATTTTTATTTTTATTTGTTTTACTTAACTTTTACAATATTAATAAGTACCTACTTGTGTAGTTGTGTTTGTCTCATGTATTATAACTTTTTTTTTGTGTTCAATTATTGTAAAATAATATAAAGAAAACGCTTAAATTAAAAATAAACTGAAAAAACACTTTCTTTTTATTAATATAGACTATTATAGTTTAAAGTATTATTAAAAATGTTTATTTTCATTCACTGGCTTTTCTTATAAATGCTATCTTTATCAGTATCTATCTCATGAGTCATGCATATCATATTATGGATTTTTAATGCATAATTTAACTCAATATATTCTCGATTTAAAAAAATTTGTAAATTTATCAAATTCAACAGTAAAAACTCATTATTTCAAAAAGTACATTTTTTGAAAAAAAAATTTGTTTGCGTAATTTAATGTCACTATCAAAAAGTGGACAAGGGGGGTGGGGGGGTACCGACTTACCATTCTGTTATACAGTTTAGTAGGTGTCTAGAGGGGTCAGTGTGAAGGATGTTTTAAACTTGAATTCAATATGATATAAAATCATAGTTTACGAGAAACGATTCTGAGCGAAGACGATCTCTCAGCCTATATTACTTAGTATATTTTATGATATTGGTATTAAAGTAATTTATTTAAGTAATAGTAATACCATAGATTTTATATGACTAATATAATTAAATTTATATTATACTCTGTGGTAATATAGGTTGAACTAATTTTTTTTTGAAAAAAATGCATTTGAAAACGTCATTGTGTGGGTTAAATATAATAGGTATACTTAAAAAGCTTCAAGTAGTAGGTACCCACGAATATTATTTTTAAATTACAACAAAATATCTATAAAAAAAATATATATATATATATTTTGGGTAAAATAAAAACTACTTATGAGAACCGGTTTTTAAATTTTCAATCTTATGCCATACAAATTTAACATTTTTAATTAGAAAATAATTAGAACATTTTCGTGATTTTGATGAATAGTTTCAAAAACTTTTATCGTCATAAAGTAATATTTAATATTATATTAAAACATAAAAAAACTTATGAGGAACCTATTATACTGCATTTTTGATGCCAGCGAAAAAATTTTATCAACATTTATAGAAAAAACTAAAAAAAGATTTTCAATATTGAAATTTTCAATTTTGGCAAAATAAGTTTTTGATAAAATTACTGTTTTTTCAGATGATTTTGAAAACTACCGAGAATATATTATTAGATTCACTTTCACTCCAGAAAAGTAATTGAAGTTGAAAATCATAGAAATATTTCTTTTATTATCCTTTTGAGTTTGTTTTTATTTATAACTATAATTCCTATATTTTATAATAACATAATATAGCCAATAGGAAGAATCATTAGTAATTAAATTTATCTTATATTAACTTGCATTTTTATTTTTTTGTAACTTTTTAAATTGAACATTTGTAAATATTTTTATATGATTTAAAGAGGGTTTAAGTGAAATTAATGAATGTGGGGGATATAACCCCCACGACACAATAACGTTTAACAATTGATGGAGACGCTCTTTTTTTAAAAGTAAATAGAGGCCCTACTTTAATTTTGATTTTTGACATGTCGAGCACTGGTAATAACTGATAAATAATAATAATTAATAATTACCAGTAGTACTGTAGACGTGCATTAGTTGTAGCCGCGGACTACAACAGTCAACAGTTATAGTAACAACATTTAATACAAGACTCATCAGTGGCTTGTATCAAAAAAATTGATGTTGCTCAAATAATTTTAGGTGACTTATTCCTCATAATACTGTTATACCGACCTATATAATTTCCTATTTTTCTTCTATCAATGCCCACCCACCCATATTTAAGGTGTTGCCTTAGACTCCTAATATATTGTTACAATTGGCAGTTGAATAATTTTAAAATTACAGTTACAATTTTTTTATAAACATAAAAATGTATAGGTAAATGTAAAACCTTCACTTTTATAGCTAAACAATGAAATTTAAAAAAAGGTTCCACTTAAGTAGGGTATTCTGTTACCAAAAAATCTAAAATACATATATACTTACATAGTTTTTTGGTAAATGGACATCCCCCCCCCCGGACATATTCTCCCACACTGTTTTCGGTCTAGTAGGACACTTTCCCTCCGATATATTTTTGATACCATTTTTTTTTTAAAGTTAATTTTTGACTTATATTGGATTTAATAATGTATAATATTATTTATTATTTAATATGAATTTTTTTTTTAAATAAAATATAAAATAATATACAAAGTAGTTTTTATTTTCATAAATATAATAGATTATAAATGTATATGTTTGACCAACCAAACTACTTACTTGAAATAATTAAAATTTAAAAAAAATAGTAGGTAGCTACCTATAAAGTAAAATATAATTATTATTAATAATTAATAAAAATGGTTAAAATTCCGACAAAAATGATACATTTTGTAAAAACCATTTGATTTCTGATTCTTTTGTTATTTCTTAACTTGTATTTTTTAGCTTTTATACCTATTTATTATTTTTATTTTTTGTTAAAACTATACCAGTTTGAATATTCAACAATTTAATAATTGCTTGTGAATTTGATTCAAGTTGTGCAGTTGACCAAAAATATACATCTATAATTTACTATAGGTATTTATGAAAATATTTGAAAATATTAGACAATAGGCATAAATATTATATTTATATTAATTAATCATAATAATATTATATACTATTAAATAGTAAACTTTAAAAAAAAATAGAGGGGTAAATTTCCACATCAAAAATATATCGGGGGAAAATGTCCTACTACACCAAAAACAATGGTGGGGGGGGGTAATGTCCGCGATTCCAGTTTTTTATAGTTATTTTATGTCAACATTTTAACGAAATTAGATATTTAAACGAAGAAGAACAATTTTAGTTAAATTTATATAAAATATTATTCGTGGGTGGTGGGTAGATACTTTAAAATTCTAAAGTATATTATTATTTACAAATATGATAATAAACAAATACCTAATAATAGTTAAACTTAACCGGCCACCGTATTAAGAATAACAATATACAATTTATGTAATATAATATAATAATATAAAATATTCTAGGGTGACAAACCGTCTTCACTCAGAATTGTTTTTCGTATAGGTACATTGATATTATTATTATATCATTGAATTCAACTTTAAGAGAACGTTACACTGATATTTGTTGTCTCCGTGACTCCGTCTTATAAGTTCGTAACATACCAAATTTTACGCTCAGCAGATCACGTTTAGCTCTGTTAAGTGTTAGTTTAAAAAATAGAGTGAATTTATCTATAATATAATTTAAACATAATATTATTATCTAGGGGTCTTTTTTTTAACAATTATGGATCAATGATATGGAATTTCGTTAAAACAAAAAAATACGTGTTTATTATTTATTTTTAAGAGACATTTTTTTATTCTTATACAATTTAGAGTAAAATAGTTATCTAGGACATCTCATGGACTTTTTGTAATATTTAAATTTTAAAGCGAGTTATGAGTATTTTAACTTTTAAGACATACCTACAAACAATTCATAATTTTAAAATACTCTGATTTTGCTTTAAAATTAAAGTACAACAAAAAGTCCATGAGATGTCCTCATGGGCGTTCTCACGGGGGGGGATATGGGGGATAGATCCCCCCCAAGGTTCTTTATTTTTTACATATTAGTAATACACGTTTTGTCTACTTTTGATATGTGTTTGTGTTTTCAATATTGACTTGGTAGTTATTATTTTATTTTTTTTTTTGCTATTTTTCTTTATCGTGATTAATGATTCCACCAGCCGTAAACAATATTATTATTTATCACTGATAATTATAACATATAACAGGCAATTCGCTTTACAATTGATTTGTACTATATTTTTGTAAAGAATCACTCCGTCACCAGCGTTAGAAAAAATGTAAAGGTAAGATACACAATAATAACACCACAGTGATAAAATAAAATAAATAATTTAAACTAGGGATGGAAAACGTTTTTAAAAAACGTTAGTAAACGGAAAAAAACGAAAACAATTAATAAAACAAAAACAAAAAACGATAATAAAAAATCCCAAAAACAGAAAAAAATTAATTACGAAATCAAAAACGAAAACGCAAATAAATTATAGTATTATACATTATTATATTTATAACACGAAAAAAAAACGTTACTAAAGTATTTACTTTTTAATCTTTACCAACAATGCTCTATTAAAATTTAAAAACATTTTTATTTGAAATCAAGAATAATTAATTTTAATTTTTACTCTTATGTGCATTTCTAAATTGCTAAATTTACTACTATAAAAAAAAAAACAATATTATCAAAAACAATATAGAAAAATAACGTTTTTAAAAATGTTAATCAAAAACGGTAAACAAAAACAGTATTTTTTAAATCAATAAACAAAAACGA